TCTCCTGATAACTGATGATGGAGGAGAAGACATGAAAAACAAATCAGGCTGAATTCAAGTTCAAAACACCACGAGGACCAACTGCAGGTCTGAACTGACTCTTTATCTTTGCTCAGGAGTCGAGGAAACACAGCAGGCAGTGAAAAGATCAAATCATTCACTCATTATATTAACACAGCTGAGAGTCTGAAATACGACATTTAACATTTTCATCCATTTAGTCAACTATAGCTGCCTTTAAAGTTTTTGTGCTGCACAAAGTGACCGTTAGTGTTTGTGGTTGAGCCGTTTGTGGTTTAAACAGAAACTAAAGGAGCTCAATTTTTCTTTTTCTGTGGGACAGAAAAAAGAAGTAGCAGGCGTTTCCTCACAGGGTTGCCAATCATATAAGGGGAAGTAACACGTCTGTGACCAGAGGCCATGAATCTAAAGCAGTTTGGTTAAAAACCATCTTTTAGTTAATTTAGACCAGTGATCACTGCTCCTTTTGACGGACTTCACTCATTTTTATGAATGGATTTGACTTCAGTGACACCGGATCAAAAACAGGAAAAATCAGAAACTATCTAAACATTTAATTTCTGTTTATTCCTCTTTGACTAAAACTCCAACCTTCGTAATGAAATCACATTTTCTCTTTTATTTTATTAAGAGAAAAATATTTCATTATCTTAAATGTAATATTGTAATTTTACTCAGTTACTGTAACTGAGTACTTTTACTCTGCTTTTCTAGTCTGTTCACTGACATCTTAATCCTGGGTTCTCCTGAGCTTGAACCTAAACGTCAGACCAACCATCGACTGCAGGAGACATGAGCCTCAGACCATCTCACCATCACTATCTTCATCATCTTCATCATCATCATCATCAGGTGTGTCATTTTTAGTTACAGGAGCGCAGCGATGACGGCCGTGTTTGAGCTGTAACTCTTTTCTGAGTTTATGTAACCAGACACTTGTTCACATACATGAGTCAGCTATAACTAAATAATAAAATATGTTGCAGTCGTTGTAGTTTCGCCTCTGCTCACCACCAAAGTAAGATTTCAGTCAAACAATCAAAGTGTAAGTGAAGTGCAGCCATTTTCATACACAGTCTCCTGCAGAGGCTGAGGAGGAATGGGACGACTGACAGCAGCTTCATGACCAGGTGAGGATTGTTCCCTCAGCATTTATGAAGCAGCCATGATATCTGAAGCTGATTCAGTGTGTTTGCATTTTATAACGTTTGACTGTAATTTTAAATGTAAGGCCTCAGAGACGTCATCAGAAAAACATAACAAAGTTATAATGAAACTGCTGTCAGTCAGTCGTCCAGTTACTTTACCCCCCTGAGAACAGAGAACTGTATCATCACAGTGTTGCTGTATTAAAATCCACTGTGGTGCTGTACAGAGACATTTTACAAAAACATATGGACCTAATTGCATTTTCATGTCTTCATATCAGGAACAGTTAACTGAAGACCATTTTTAAAACTAAATAAATATCACAAAGGTCCTGGGTTTGAGTCCTCCATCTGGCTGGGCCTGTGTGGGTTCCTCCCACAGCCTGAATCACTAAGTGTGAACGGTAGTCCGTCTCTTTGCCCTGTGACTCGCTGGGGTACCTCGTCTCTCGCCCGATGGCAGTGCCCCTGAATTTATGGAATCAGAACGATGCCACCTTGAAACGAAACCGAAACTCCCAGCCTGTTATTTATTTTTAATTTAAAATGTGAATTATAGTGTCATCAGTCATCAGGACCAAACAGAAGGGTTTAATTTTTCAGGGTCATAAAATACTTATGATAAATTCAGCCTATGAAAATGTATCTTTTCCTATAAACATGTCCTCTGGGATCAAACTGTCATTAGAAGCAAGAATTCAGTCATATGTATAATTATTAATGCTGTTAGCCTTACTATTATTGCCTCTCTCTGTAGCCCACCTTTCAGACAATCGCTGGCATGAGAATCACGGATTCATGTGTCCTCAGCTACTTTGTCATGTTACATCTGTCTACGTTGTGCCTGATTAGACTAATAGATGCAGGAGTCATCACACACAGCTGTAAGCCATATGTCTTTAAGGATGATGTAGTAAGATGACTTAAAATGATATTAAAGTGTTTTAGGATGATAGTTTAGGGGATATTAGGTGTTTTAAAATAGGCAGTTTATATGTTTCAACTATTTGTGGATTGGCTACAGAGAAATCTTGGAGTAGGCCTACTAATGGATAAAGGACTTAAGTGGGTCAGACTAGTCAAGCTCCTCTTTTTGTCAGTGTAAAGATATTTTAACTAATCCCTGAGATATTTTAGTGTAAGAAAACAGCAGTTTCGTTTTCCTTTTGTTTTTTTTTCTGCCTGTCCCGTTTGGCTCTTTTGCCATCAGAATTATTGTCTAAAGGCAAAGAAAGATGCCCAACGGATTTACTTTACCAAATGGACCATCCAAGCCTTGCTGTATTGGTCTATTTGATTCACCTTTATTTTCACTTGCTACACACGGGACAGACATGACTGGGGGAAAGAAAAGGAAGAAAGAAAGAGGGAAAGAAAAACAGCAGGGAAGGGGAACGGTGATAAAGGACAAAAAACAAAAACAAACAGACAAAAAAATCCATCTATCAATCACCTGGATCACCTGTTGAGAAAGAAATAAGAGAAAACAAGCAAAAAAAAAGAGCAACACAATAAACAACATCACGATGATCTATGTGAATATCACAGTAAATACTAAATATTAAACATTATTGTGCAGCACGTAAGAT